GGGGGCTGGAGCCAGGGCCAGGGAAGGCAGCCAGGCAGAGGCACAAAGCTTTGGCCCTGCTGCTGCTAAGAGGGATCTGTGGGTGTCCTGGAGCAGCCTTGTACCCTGGCATCAGGGGACACTGCCTTTTCCAGAGGCTGTTGGAGCAATGCCAAAGTGGTCACCGGGTGGAGGGGACCCCTGGCAACCTACCCCGAGGAGGAGGAGTGGAGAACTACAGCATCAGGAGTGGGAATCCTGTCCCCCTCACCTGCCCTCAGGCAGGGCAACTGTCTGCAGGAACTGCTTACCAGGTGTGGAGGAATGTAAAGTGGCAAAATCACTCTCCAGGTGGACTTCACAGATTGCATCATTTTCCAGCCCTTCAGGGATCATGTGAGCCGAGCTGGGAGCGGGCAAGGCAGGCTCTGCAGAGTCACGCACCAACACGGACCCTATGTTGCCTAGGAAGGCAGGGCCGGCCATCAGCAATGATGGGGTGTCCCATCCCCAGCCTGTGCCTGGGGCTCACATGCCCTGGGATAGCCTGGCCGGCTTGCTTGCCTCGCAGGCACCTGGGGACTCACCTCCACTGCAGGACTGGATAATGACCACTTTGGGTTTGCCTAGCAGCGCCTGGCAGTGCTTGTTGTTGAATTTGTTGTAGATGGTGTCGAGGGAAAGTATGTCTGTGGTCTTGTCTCTGCTCTTGGTCCCACACAGCCCAGCCCTGACCCCGTGGGACATGAAGACCAGGAAGGTGCTGTCAGAAGTCCAGTGGTCTTTGTGACTGGCAAAATCCTTCATGACGGTAGCCATTTCCTACAAACCAGCATAAGGAAGGAACATCAGCCACCTGTGACCAGCTGTGTGGAGACCTAGCCACTAACCACTGTGGACAGGTGTCCCTGCAGTGCTTGAGCCCCCCATCACCAACACATGAAAGGACGGTCTGTCCCGGGGCTGGTGGCAGCTGCTCTGTGCAGTAGTTTACCTGGGAAGTTAAGTTGCAGTGGGGGTCCACCACGTAGCCCAGCCCTTCCAGCAGCTTTGTCATCCCCTCCACATCCACTTCAGCCCCATTCCGCCGGCTCAGGTGCTCAAACTCAATGTTGCAGATGAGCAGGGCCCTACGGGTTCGTCTCTCCCGTGGTAGATGGATGGGATAAATCTGTGAGGACAGAAGGAGGCAGCACTCAGCAGAGGGTGCGTGCAGGGAGTTTTTCTTGGGAGGCAGCTAATAGCAGAGAAGGGCCACAGGTGCAGCAACCATATCTCCCTGTCCCTGGGGCATCTCCCCACATCTCCTGCCATGCTCCCGGGTCAGCAAGGACTCTGCTCTGCCTCAGCAAGCCCCTGCCAGCTCTGGCGGGGTGGCCAGGCCATGCTCTAGCCCTCCTGTCATCTCTGCCTGCAGCACCTGGTCTCCCTCTGTATCCCTGATGTGCTGGTACTCGCTCAGGGAGCACTGCCGGATCCACTGCTGGCCCCGGATGCTGACTGGGGGCCCAGAGGGAGCTTCAGTGTCGGCAGAGGCCAGCTGCTCATCTGGGGGCCCTGCAAGGAGAAAGCCCCAGAGTTACACTGGGAAGCACCTACAGCAAAAGGGGACTGTTGCAGGGCATGGGCAGGCGAGCGAAGCTGAGCTCTGCCCTTCGAGGTCCCTGTTCAGCCCCACAGGGCATGGCCACCCCTGAGAGCCTGTTGTCGCTGCATGGCAAGGGGGACTCAGTGCCACAGAGCAGTGACATCGGGGACACCACACTGCCTCTTCAGGCCTTGGATGCTCATTAGGGCCAGGCCCCCCTCCAGCTGCCTGCCAGAGGAACCGCGAGCCCCAGCATGGCCGGCGGCAGACCACAGCCCCACATCTCTCACCAGAGTTAGCGGCCAGACCCAGCTGCTCTGCCAAGGTGCCATCACGGTTCCTGAGGCTGACAATGAAGATCTGGCTGGCCTTAGCGCCCTTCAGGCGCACACTGTCAATGAGGCAGCGGGCCTTGTCAGTGCGCACTGCGTATCCATCCTGCACCTCATCCACCTCCTCGAGGTTCAGCACCCCTTGGGCCAGCAGGTCATCCAGCAGCCCAGAGATCACCGGCTTTCTCACACGCTCTACAAAGTCTGTCCGCACATTCAGGAGCAGCTTGTCTGAAGGGCAGAATCACAGAATCAAAGAATCACTCAGGTTGGAAAAGCCCCTCGGGATCATCGAGTCCAACCCTCAGCCCGACTCTACAAAGTTCTCCCCTACCCCACATCCCCCCACAGGTCATCCAAACGGCCCTTAAACACCCCCAGGGATGGGGACTCCCCCCCCTCCCTGGGCAGCCTATTCCACTCTCTGACTACTCCTCCAGGGAAACATTTTTTCCTGATGCCCAGTCTGACCCTCCCCTGTTGCAGTTTCCAGCCGTTCCCTCTTGTTCTGTCACCAATTCCCTGGGAGCAGAGCCCAGCCCCAGCCTCTCTGCAATGTCCTGTCAGGAGCTGCAGAGAGTGACGAGGTCTCCCCTCAGCCTCCTCCTCCTCACACTGAACACTCCCAGCTCCTTCA